CCGAACCCAAAGCTGAAGCCAGCTTCTTCATACCTCTACGCTATATCATGGTTTAACCGCCGCGCCGCTTCTTCCAGCCTTGCCCGGCACGTGCAAAGAAAGCACGGCAAGGTAGTCGATGGGCAGGCACACGCAATAATTCACCAGACCATTGGAGGCGGGGTAGAGCGATGTCTTCTGATAGAGAACGACTATCCGCACCCAGCACACGATGACGAACCCGCGTCATTGCTCACCCGGTGTTCCCACCAGACACGAGCAATGCTTCGGAGACATCGGTGGTCGAATAAAGAAAGTCGATTAGCATCCTCCGCTCGGAAAGGCCAGGTACCGCAACCGAACCGCGGCGATGTACACCCTTCCCTTAAGGGACAGTCGGATGTCATGGCGGCGCCAGAAATGTCGCAGGTTGGCGAAAGCTGCTCTAGCTTTCGCTGTTCGTGATAAGATCTCCCTAACACCTCCACCAGCTGTGATTAAGCTCCCGAGGTACTTAAAGCTCTCAACTACTTCTAGTTCATCGTAACAGAAGGTGAGTGCAGGCACAGGGTCCTGCCAGTTTTGAACCAGCACTTTGCACTTATAAGGTGCAAAGCACATATCATATCTGGATACCTCGATCGCCAAACGGTTCAAAGCGTTTCGGACTGCCTGTGTGTTGCCACCCAGCAAGGCTATGTCGTCGTCATCTTATGATTCAAAGACTCTGTTCCCAGGGAGGAGTTCGACTCCACCGTTTGCTTGACCGGCCAAAGCATTCTGTAGAACATTGTCCATGACAAAGTAGAAGAAAAGGAATGGGGAAGCCTTGAAGAACTCCACTGGAGACAGCGAATGATGGCGAAAGTTGGCCATAAGCCCTAACTCGACCTGAGACTTGACGATACAACTTTTTGAGGATCGACACATACTTCTCAGGTACTCCATTCCTCAACAAACAGTTCCATNAGAATATCCTCTATCACGAAGTTGAAAAGGATTGGGGATATAGGGCAGCCTTGTCGAACTCTACTGGAGACAGCAAACGCTGGCGAAAGCTGGCCATAGGCCCTAACCCGACCTGAGGTGTGACAATACAACTTTTTGAGGATCGACACATACTTCTCAGGTACTCCATTCCTCAACAAACAGTTCCATGTTGCGGTCCTATCGACAAAATTCGAAGACCGGATGTCTAAGAATACAATGAACGTTGATCTTTGATAGGCAAGACGGTGCTCTAGCAGCCGTCGGAGGGTGAAGATTTGATCGATGCATCTACCACCGGCGCGAAACCCAGCCTGCTCCTCACGCGTAGTGTANGGCGGAGAATGACGGATGCCAACAGCTTTGACGCTATCGGGATTAGGCTTATGCCCCTATGATTGGCGCAGTCATTGCGGGGGCCCATTTTAAAGATGGAGACGATAATCGATCCTACCCCACGATGAGGGGGTCTGCTCAATGTTTCACACTTTAGAGAACGGAGCTTGTAGTTCTTTAAAAAGCATTATTCCACCAGCTTTAGATAGAACTGGGAGAAAACCATCGGAGCCCGGCGCTTTGTGACGTCCGAAGGCTTGGATCTCCTTACGGATTTCCACCTCAGGTGGGTCTGTTGTGACAGACCATAGGACGTGTGCCGGAATAGCTGTGTGAAAAACCGACGTAGGTGGCCAGCTAAACTGTACCTTGAAGTACTCAGCCCAGCTTGCAAGACGTAACTGTTGACTGTGAATGGACGAACCGTCAGCTTAGCAGATCGTTTCGCTCACACCCAAGGCTTTCCTACCGGTGGCCCGGATGAGATGGAACAGCTTACGGGAATTACCCATGGCGGCAGCCCGTTCCATCTCTGACGCGCGTTGAGTCCACCAAATCTTGCGGTCTCTGCGTAAGTTTGCGTTGAGGTTACGAGTCGTTGCTCGTCGTATTTTATTATGCTTGCTGCCGGTCGGGGTTGATCGCCGTGCGTCGAGAAGGCGTAGAGACACTAGAAATCCAGGGTGTCACGGCACGACGTGTCAGACCACAACTAACTAAGCCAGCAGAATGCAGACCATTCTTGATAAGCGACCAGTGCTGGTTAACATCATCGCGTGGGGTTGGTTGTAGCTTTTTAGCTAGCGCGTTCTGAAAGATAGTTAGGCGTGCTGGTTTAGACAACTTATCACAGTCTAACCGTCGTGTAAAATGTTACTTCAAGACTAGGTTGATCCTGCACCCAGCCTCACCCTATCTGAGGGAGTAATAGAGCAAGTGGATAAGTTTTGTTACTTGGGCAGCTACATCTCACCCAGTGGACGCATCACGGACGAAGTGTCAGCTCGCATGCAGAAGATTCGGTTGGCATTTGCCAACTTGAGACATCTGTGGCGCCGTCGCGATATCCGGTTTTCTGTGAAGGGTCGAGTGTATGCTATACGGCGCAGAAACTTGGCCATTAAGAAAACAGGATAAATATAGACTGTCGGTGTTCGAACACCGCTGTCTACGTAGCATTACACGAATCTGGTGGGGCAGCCGAACGAACAATGCTGAGGTTAGGCGCTGAGTTTTAGGTAAATGCGGTCGCCCATTGAAGCAAGTGGTCGATCTCCATAGATGACGTTAGTTGGGACATGTGTTACGCACGTCACCAGATAGGTTGCCACAGCGAGCGATAGGCAGATAGTTGGTGGAAGAAAGTCAAGGGTGGTCAAGTTAAGACCTGACATGGGGGTATGACAACCATAACCAGGAGTCTGGGTCACATGGGTCCCGTTAGGCTCCCTAGATGGGGACCTCGGAATGACCATACCCGATGGTTAGAGACACTGAGCGATATGGCTGGGTGTCATAAACAGCGGCTTTCGTGCATTTTGTCGATTCCCCTGCAAAATTAGTGCAATGAAATCCTCAATTTACTCTTCGATCCTACTTTCAACCTTTCCCGTCTTTCTCCTCATGTTCATCCAATTGGGCAGCCAAAAGACAGCAACCAAAACCGGCGTACGATAGTGCATGATTAACAATTGCAGAAACTGAAACTTCTCTCTGTTGGTCCCTCTTCATTTCCACACTTGCCTCTCGCGCTGCGCTCAAAGTCGGTGTTCTATCCCATGTAAAGCGCTTCTTTACACCCAAGCACCTTTTAAATCCGCCGGGTGCTCGAATACTGTAGTCACGTATGGGGTGGAGCTGCGTGTTCCGCTCTTTCTCCCCTCCACCGTGGTCAACGTAAGGTCATCCGGTTGATTGATGAACCGTCTTTAACTTCCAACCTGCAGTCGCTTCCCCACTGTCGGGCAGTTGCAACGTTATCTCTTTTCTATTCTTACTATTTTGGTTTTTGCTCTTCTGCACTCGCTTCAGTAAGTCACCTCCCCATAACCTTTTCTCGTACGTTGGTTGGGGCATGTGTTAGGTATGTCACAAAATAAGTTGCTAAGGCGTGCGAAGTTTTCTGAGGCAGGTAATCAGTGAGGAGAGCCAAGGGTGGTCAAATTAGGACCTTGCACAAGGGTATGAAAATTCTTTATTAATGTATATTCCTCACACGTCTGAGGCCAGACAGCGTGCCAAACTAATCACAGTACAATAATCTTTATCAAAGAGAAAAACGCCACATGATTTACATGTGGGCCGGATAATGCTAGGTTACCCAGTTCAAGGCAGGTGAACGTTCTGGAGGAATTCATAATCAGAGCCTTCGGCTAGCCAAAGACTGACCCTCAAGACAGCGGGGCGGTGTGTAAAAGCTGCAATTCGTTCGGGGCCGACGTCCAGTTCATAGAATCATAGCCCCTTGGGGTGGGTTAAAATGGAGGCCTTAAGCAGCAGTCTTCACGCACTTTCTCAATACCTTCGCAATCGTATCTTTATTTTTTATTACACACCTAAGTGCGATGAACAGCAGACGGGGCGAACCCCATAGTCACGAAGACCTGTTGGTCAGTTGTGGAAACCGGCAACCTAAGCCCCGAGACTTGAAGTGGCGA